CTCAGCTACCTCCGGGACACTCCACTCCGGCACCCCCAGAAGGAACACCCCCATAGCTCGAAACCCTTCGAGCACCGGTACCACCCCCAGGGCCACCGGGGCAGGCCACAACAGGAACGCCAGAACTAGCACCCACTCCAACGCGGGCACCCCCAGAGTCGACGAACTGCTGCTGCGACGGCGGCGGCGGCGGCGGTAACGTCGGGTGTGGCGGCGACGGCGGCGGAGACGACGGTTGCGACAGCAGAGGCGACGGCGGCTGCAGAGGCTAGAGAGGAGGAGACACCGGGGGAGGGGCAGACGGCTAGGATTGCACCGCAGGACCACCAGAGTCAGAGGACTCCTCGATCGGGACAACCGACAGGAGAGGGGTAACATGGGACACACCAGAGGGGGCAGGACAGGGAGGGGGAGGGGGGGGGGCAGGGACGACCGGGGAAGGAGTGACCAGGAACAGGGAGGGAGTAACAGGGGGACCGCGGTGGGGGAAGCGACGGTAGAAGGAGACGGACTCGTCAAAGGTGACGTCGCGAGAGTGAAAGAACCGGTGAGACGACGAGTGGTAAAAGTGCCAGTCGGACGCGTCAATGGGGAAACCGAGGAAGACACAGAGAAGGGTGCGGGCAGTGAGCTTGTCCATGCCAGAGGCACAAACGCGAGCAAGACCCAGACGTGGAACGCAGACGCGTCACCAGGAGACCCGGTCCAAAGAAGGGTCGGCGAAACCTGCGGCCGCAGGGGGTGCGGCCACAGGTTAAGCTGGTAAACAGCGTAGCGAACGGCGAACGGCCACAGAAAATGGGGTGCACTGGCATGGATCATGGAGGTGTGAGCCACCTCCATGACCAAACCGATGCATCACTTTGTGACCCCATTCTGCTGTGGGGAGTCCGGCAAAGTGAACGTCTGGGTGATGCCCTCCGCTTGTAGAAGCGACCAAGGACACCTGAGGCAAACTCGCCACCACGGTCGGAGTGAAGACGCAGGACAGGGAGACCTCGATGGACACGGGCAAAGACAAGCCTGGGGATGAGAGCGTCAGGCACGTTGGCCTTGCGCTATAGGGGAAAGACTGTGGTGTAGTGAGTGAAGTCATCGACAAGCACAAGGAAGTAGCGCTCTCGACGCGGTCCATGGACGGGAGCGGGGCCCCAGACGTCCATGTGCAGGGTCTGCAGCGGCGCGGCGGTAGTGGGAAACGAGGAGGAGTGAGGGGCACGGCGAAGGCGACCCTCGACACAAGGCGTACAATATGGGGCGGGGGAAGAGGGAAAAGCGGGGAACGAACCAGGGAGACCAAGGACGAGACCGTGCTGGGACATGTGACGCATACGCGGGAGCGTAGGGTGACCTAGACGGTGGTGCCAAAGGAGAGTCGGGTGAGTGAGGGACCGACAGGAGCACGCAGCAGCAACCTGGGTAGACGCAGCCACCTGAAGGGGCGCCCCAGCCGGGGGGGTTACGGTGTCCAGGGTGAACATGCCGGACACCGGGTACTGGGGGAACGTGGACAGGGGGGTACCAGTGGCGGCCTCGGTACAGACAGCATACCGCTCGTGACCAGGGAACGTAGTGGTGACGCCAAGGTCCTGGAGGCAGCCGACACCAATTAGGTTCCTGGAGAATAAGGGGATATGCAGACCTGTGAGAGAGCCCGAAGGAACCGCCGGACAGGGAAGGGTGGTGGAACTGCGGGCGACGACTGGAACTGCTGGAGGGGTCAGCAAGAGTAACTACAGCAGGAATAGGAAGCGGCGTCAGCGTAGTAGAGCCGCGGAAGAAACACCGGGAAGCGCCAGAGTCCAAGGTGAAGGAAAGCGAACGCAGTGGCGTCTGGCGATGGGGTGACGGCGGAAGCACCAAGTCTAAACAAAGCTGGAGCCCCTACGCCTGACGCAGCAGGGGACGCTAATCTAGGCACACCTACACTAGGCGACAAGGAGTAATAAGAGGGGAGCACACTAGAGTCATCAGCATACATCACATGCAGCGCAGAAACAATGGCATCCATGTCCATGTCAAAGATCTGAACTCTACGACTAAGCAAACTGTGCCAGTCCGGGAGGTCGGGCGACGGGCCGAAGCGCTGACGAAACAGGTCGTCCAGGCGACGAAAACAGCGGGCAGTGGTGTGACCGATCTTACCGCAAACGAAGCCGCAGCGAGGACCGATCTGGATCTGGTACTGACAGCGCACGCCTCCTGAACCGCCACCCGGCACACCACCACGCGCACGACCACCACCAGCGCCAGGCCACCCGGGTGGGAGGGCACTCGCCTGCCTCGTCTGCGGCGACTGCTGTGGCTGCTGCGGCTGCTGCTGCTGCTGCGGCTGCTGGGGCGGCGGCTCAGCTGGACCTGGCAGGGTCCCCTCGTCTACTCCACCACCAGGCGACCCGACTCCACCACCACCTCCACCTGCACCCCCACCTCCTCCGCCGCACCCAGCCTTGGGGCGGCGGCCCTTCTCCGGACGGAACTGCGCTGCAGCGGCGGTCTCAAACACAGCTGCAGAATCATCGGCGAAGGTGCACTGAGCGGGGGCACAACCCTGAAAGATAGGGACTGGCACAGTACCGCTCGCCTGGGCGATAGAGCGGTGGCGGGTCTTAATAACATTCAGGGTGTCTACGAAGTCTGTGAGGGTGAGGTCACCGGGGTGAATGCTAAGGAAGCGGTCATGAGCAGCGGCAAGGCGGTCAGGGAGGCGGGTGGCAAGCAGGTAGAGGGTAGAGGTAATGGGCGGCTGGTGGGCTCTAAGCTGTGCGTCAGTGCAGGCGGTGCGCCAGGTCTCGTCTATCGTGCGCAGGTGGGCAGCCAGGTCAGCGACAGTGGGGAAAGACGCAAGGTCAGGAAAGAGCATCGGTAGGATCAGGCGACCCACCGAGGCAGCAAGCGGGGCGGAATAGCGCCGGATAACAGCATCTAAGAAAGCCTGGGCGGTGATGATAGACCTAAAGCGAGGGCGCTCAGACGGGGGGAGGGCATTGCTAATGGCAAGCTGTGCGACAGCGTCACGAGAAAGCCAGACAGAGCGAGCGAGGGCAGCGGCCGCAGTAGACTCGCGTTCAGCAGGTGTGGGGTCAGCGGGCAGCACAGCAGGGGGGTCTGGGCAGGGAAGCGTACCGTCAAGGTGTGCCGAGAGCGAGTGGCCATCCTGCCACTGACCAGTGAGGTGGCGGCGGAGGTCGGCTAGCCACGCCTCGAACTCCAGAGGCTGGCCTTCACCGTCGAAGCGAAGCTCCGCCGCCATCAGGAACAGTGCAGGGCAGGGCCAGGTGAGGCAGTGGAGCGCGGTACAGTGCAGTGCGAGATAGCGCAGTGCAGTGCGGTGCAGTGCAGTACAGTGCGGTGCAGAGCGGTACAGTGCGGTATAGTGCAGTGTAAGGTGATGGAGAACTGTACCAGGGAGGGTGCAGTGCAGGAGCAGCACGAAGAGCGGGCCGCACGCAGATTGGCGGCAGTCCTGCGGGAAGGTGAGCACGGGGCCGGAGGGCGACGGGCAGGGCGCGCGCAGGGGTCGGCAGAACGGGCGCGGGGGCCAGTACGACGGGCGCGGGGGCCGCTAGGACGGGCGCGGGGCTGGCTAGGACGGGCGCGGGGGCCGCTAGGACGGGCGCAGGGCCGGCAGGACGGGCGCGGGGTCGGCTAGGACGGGCGCGGGGGCTAGCTAGGACGGGCGCAGGGGCCGGTAGGACGGGCACGGGGGCCGGTAGGACGGGCGCGGGGGCCAGCTAGGACGGGCGCGGGGCCGGCTAGGGCGGGCCTGGGAAGGGCGCGGGGCCTGCTAGGACGGGTGCGGGGCCTGCTAGGACGGGCGCAGGGGCCTGTAGGACGGGCGCGGGGGCCTGTAGGACGTGCGCGGGCGCCGCTAGGACGGGCGCGGGGCCGGCTGGGACGGGCGCGGGGGCCGCTAGGACGGGCGCGGGGCCGGCTAGGACGGGCGCTGGGGCCGTTAGGACGGGCACGGGAGCCGGTAGGACGGGCACGGGGTCGGCTAGGACGGGCGCGGGGGCCAGTAGGACGGGCGCAGGGCCGGCAGGACGGGTGCGGGGTCGGCTAGGACGGGCGCGGGGGCTAGCTAGGACGGGCGCAGGGGCCGGTAGGACGGGCACGGGGGCCGGTAGGACGGGCGCGGGGGCCAGCTAGGACGGGCGCGGGGCCGGCTAGGGCGGGCCTGGGACGGGCGCGGGGCCTGCTAGGACGGGTGCGGGGCCTGCTAGGACGGGCGCAGGGGCCTGTAGGACGGGCGCGGGCGCCGCTAGGACGGGCGCGGGGCCGGCTGGGACGGACGCGGGGGGCGCTAGGACGGGCGCGGGGCCAGCTAGGACGGGCGCTGGGGCCGTTAGGACGAGCACGGGGGCCGGTAGGACGGGCGCGGGGTCGGCTAGGACGGGCGCGGGGGCCAGTAGGACGGGCGCGGGGCCGAGAGAACGGGCGCGGGGGGCCTGCTAGGACGGGCACGGGGGCCAGTAGGACGGGCGCGCGGGCGCAGCTAGGACGGGCGCGCTAGGTCGCGGCTAGGGCGGTCGACTAGGACGGGCGCGGGGGCGGCTAGGTCCTAGAGCGGAAGCGTGAGCGGGCGGCGGGACCTACCTACTGCTGATACCATCTTAGAACTGAAAAATGATTGACTAGTGAGAGAGTACAAGTGATTATACCTAAGTGTTGTACCTCTAAGAGGTGACCCTATACAGTCTATGCAAACATTAGAGATACACATGTTTGACAATGGGAGCTTTTAAAAGTATTGACTTGACTTCTCGGCGTGACGTGAGTGGGTAGTAGTCAGCTAACAACACAGGCAGGGGTGCATGTGCATCAGATTTCTGAATTTACTGTGGACGAGTCTGTCTCTTTGATAACAGGGTTCTGGATCAAGAAGCAAGAATGCAAGCTGAAATTTGGTGCGAATGAATATGTGACTGAATGAGAAGGCTGCTCCAAGTGCGAGAGGAACAAGTCCACACGTGATTCTTGGAACATTCACGTCATAATACATACCGTAAAAGCCCGGATATAAGACCCCCTAGGAATAGAAGACCCTGGGTATTAGGCGCTTATCTTGTGGTAACCCGGTTTTTTGCCCCTGGATCTAGGACCATTTGGAATATTTCTCAACGGTATGTGATAAGACCCATGGGTCTTATATCCGGGCTAATACGGTAGCAATTCATTGATACAACCAGCTTCTACACCTCGTCGCCCTTCACTCCATCCTAACCACTACCTTCCCTGTCACATGCCCTTCCATGCTCTTCCTCCACGCCTCTCTAGCCTCTTCAAACGGCACACTACTCTCCACCACCACCTTCACTTTCCCCTCCCCCACCATCCGTCCCAACACCTCCAAATCAGCCCCCCTATTCTCCATCATCACTGAGTATATCTTTTTGGGCCGAAGCGCCAAGCGGCGCCAGAGTCCTAGGGCGAACACTGAGAGCGGGGGTATCACGTGCACCCACTTCCCTTGGGGACGGAGAACCCTATCCACAGCAGAAACAGCCAGGCTGTTGGGAGAGCAATCTATAACCACATCATAGCGCCCACCGATATAGGGGTCAGCAGTTGAAGCTATCTGCGCCGCGGCATGAGCAGAAAGGCTAGGGGATGGGGAAGGAATGAGCTGCTTTCCTGCAGTGGAGTTGTAATCCAGCGCCTCGTCTGCTCCTAGCTTCCGCGCAAAGTCGAGGTTGCGAGCGCCGACAGTGGCTGTGACGTGTGCTCCTGCTGCCTTGGCCAGCTGCACTGCCAGGTGCCCCACCCCCCCTGATGCATTCGCCACCAGCACCCGTGCGTTGCACCTGCTGCTGCTGCTCTTGCCCTTGCTGCTGCTGTCATGGCTTCCTTTCGCACTCTGCGGCGCTACAGGCGCTGCAGGGAGAGGCAGGCCAGCGTAGTCGCGCACGGCTTGCAGGGCTGTGAGGCCGGCGATGGGGAGAGCAGCAGCAGTCTCAAAGGAAAGAGAGGCGGGCTTGCGCGCACTGCCGTCCTGGTCTAGTACAGCGTATTGCGCCAGAGCACCCATTTTCTGGGACAGGGGAATAGAGTGAGAACAGGGAGGAGGGGGTAATGCATGGGGGGTGTATGATGGGGTGAGATGGGGCTTGACGGGTGGCAGCAGGGTAGCCAGGCATGGTGATGAGAGAAGAGAGTTGGGACAAATGTCTCCAGTGCATCCAGACAGATAAATAAGCTCAAAACACAATGTTTCCTTTTCAAGAGCTTACAAAGAAAGGCGCCCTCCCAAAGACAGGCTCCCCCACAGTGTACTGGGTGACACCATGCCCCACTGCCACTACGCTGCCTGCCAGGTCGAACCCTGCAAGGAAGATGGTGATTAGATAAATCAGGCCACTTTTGGCGTCAACCACGATGTTTTTCCAAATGTCCACAAACCATGAATTCTCGTGGAAGTAACAGGCTTGCACGGCTCTTACCAGCAGTGGCGGGGAAGCGCAGCGGCAGGAAGGGGAGGAGTCCGGATTGCAGCTTCCAGTCGCCCGGGTTGATGCTCGCCGCGCGCACTCGCACCAGCACCTCGCCCTTGGCCGGCTTGGGCACGGGGACGTTGTCGCTCAACTGGTGAGGCGAGGGGGCGCGGGATGGGGGAAACGGATGATAGCGGTCGAATCAATGCGCATGGCGATGCTGTTGAACTCGTGACGTCGCAGATACACTTATGGCGATGGATAGAAGCCTTTGAGTGGGTATTACTTCCAGCAACAGCCTCGGATAGGCAATGATACGCACCGAGAGAGCGTCGGCCCCCCCTCCGTGCTTGGAGTACTGCCACGCGGACATGGTCTCCGGCACATGCGGCGCTTCCGAAGTCCCAATTCGAACGGAGCCGATTCCTCCTACAGTCGTCATTGCGCAGAACTTGTTGAACAGCGGATGTTCACGGGCGTTTGCGGCAGGAGAGACCGATGAAGCAGCAGCGTTTCAAACAGGATTCCCGCGAGGAAATCGGTTGCAGCTAACAGGCAGTGGACAGAGTCCGAGAAGCGCAGCGCGAGAGATTGACGCTTCGAAATGTACTGGCGGGGAATGCTTGTGTGAGACGATTTTCTTGCAAGGAAATCATGAAAACTGTAAGAGCTGACGATGGGGTGCTGCTGTTCTCTGCCAATTTGAGCTTTTGAATTGCTGCCGAGGGTTGCCAAAGGGCGGAGTGCGTTCGCGAGGGAAGTGTATTGTTCACGACGTTCGCAAATATGCGACTGCGTTGTTCGTTCTGATCTTACGGATGATAAAGCGGAATTGCGAAGCAAGGTACACGAATCGAGAGATCGTCACCATCCAGACTCTGCGATGCTGCGCGAGTTCAGCAGTCATGCCGTCGCCTGGAATTTGAGGAGTCAGTTGGAGCCTGCTCAACGTCAGCAGTACGTAATCATAACGTCACAGGTGGGACCTGAAGAGCTTCGAGGAATTCTTCCATAGCGGACACTTCAGTATTTTTTGGGTTGCGGAGCAACCTATTGCGATCGATCCGACGAGTTTTTTTTGGGTTGCGGAGCAACCTATTGCAATCGATCGGGCTGGTTTTTTTTTTCAAGTTTGTGAAATAAAAATCAAATGTTTGTTGTGATGGAAATAAAACATTTTATGTATAATAAAGTCTCATCATGAAATGCTCCGCAACCCTAAGACGATCTCGTCGCCTCTTGTTGGGTTGCGGAGCAACCTATTGCAATCGATCGGGCTGGTTTTTTTTTTCAAGTTTGTGAAATAAAAATCAAATCTTTGTTGTGATGGAAATAAAAAACATTTTATGTATAATAAAGTCTCATCATGAAATGCTCCGCAACCCTAAGACGATCTCGTCGCCTCTTGTTGGATTGCGGAGCAACCTATTGCAATCGATCGGGCTGTTTTTGTTTTTTTTTTTTGGGTTGCGGAGCAACCTATTGCAATCGATCGGGCTGTTTTTTTTTCAAGTTTGTGAAATAAAAATCAAATGTTTGTTGTGATGGAAATAAAACATTTTATGTATAATAAAGTCTCATCATGAAATGCTCCGCAACCCTAAGACGATCTCGTCGCCTCTTGTTTGGGTTGCGGAGCAACCTAATGCGATCGATTTTACCGATTGTTTTTAACGCGGATTTCGGGAATTAGAAACACTACCTACAAAATCGAACCATATTTTTTGACTTCCTCCTCATCTAATTAGTAAATCACATTTCTGTTGTAAGATATATGCAATGGTTTGCAATCTTTGAAAGATAGCTTGCTTATTGTTGATACTTCCAACCGAAATTCTAGTATCGTATTTCGGCAAATTTCGTGTTTGATTGCATCGCGCCATTAGCAACCGATCCAATCCAATCGTGCTCGGTTTTTTTTACATGTCATGGTCCATGACATGAATCTACAATAAAATTGATGATTATTATGCGACACTGTAGAAAACCCAACCTCTAGGCTACCGCTTCCCCAGCACTAGCATGGGGGGGAAATCAGCAAGCCTAGTATTTGAGTGATCAACAATATTATGAAACAACAGTCTGTGAAGTCCAAAAAGAGAACCCTACCCATCAAATCTAGTTCAAGAGACTACACTCAAGGAGCGCGCCTATGAACCGTTTACAATATGATAGGCAAGGTTTCTCGATTTGAAAAACGCCGGCATGCATTGCCAATCAATGAGAATGGAGGATGATAGGATGGAACGGTATGTGAAAATAACATGACTGCACACACGGAACAGAAGTCAGAATAGTTGAAAACGATAAAGCAATCTATTATGCAATCAGAAAAAGGCAGAACAAGCACATTGCAATTTCAACATCTAAAAGGGTGGTTCAAGTTGGGACCCTGCATTCACAGTAGAAGAGCCAATGAAATAACAGAATTAAAGAGCGTGGATAAAAGAATTGGAAATAGAAAGAACAAGCACGAAAAGGACAAATAGAGAGTAGGGAGAAAGAGGATGTGCGTCATACATACCGGGTTCCCGTAAGACGGATTAGGCGCAAAGCTAGAAGGGAATGAAATGATAAGAGAAAAGAAGGATTGAAAACGACGGAAGGGAAGGGAATAAAGGCGTGAGATGGAAGCAAAAGTAGGCACGGAATCGAAAATAAGGCAACGTATGGAAAGGAGGAAAGGGGAAGAGCAAAGCGGGAACGTATAGAATGCCCACCTTTTGTTCAAGCCGAGTGGCGATTACTCACGCTTCCTTTACAAGCTGGTACACCAAGAGAGGTAAGTGGTACTGGAAAAGGCAGAGTGTGAGAGTACGACCCTGTTACACCACTTGTCCCTTTTCTTATTTCCTTCCTCTTTCATTTCTCTTTTCATGTCATCTCATTTGGTTTCCTATTCTCCGTTTTCCATTATCCTCTGGTTTATCCTGTTATTATAATTACAGTGGCGGAATAAATTGTCCACATGTTCAGCCTTGCGATCGAAACTTCGACGCCCGCAGATGGATCGCCGTGATGGAGATCTACTTCGCAGCCGTCGGATGGAGCTCGCCAGTCTGGGACGGACAACGTGTACAACTCGCGGCGACACTGATGCGAGGGCCGGCACTCGAGTGGATTGGCGGCAACAGTACCTTCATCCACGGTGAAGCTACGTGGAAGCAGTTCCGCACCGACATGCTGAAACGATTTGAGCCGATAAATTCGAGTTTCCTTGCCCGGGAAAAAATTCATCGACACCGACAGTTCGGGAGTGTAGCTGTGAGAGTACGACCCCGTTACACCACTTGTCCCTTTTCTTATTTCCTTCCTCGTTCATTTCTCTTTATCTCATCTCATTTGGTTTCCTATTTTCCATTTTCCATTAACCTTTGGTTTATCCTGCTATTCTAGTTATATCACCGACCAGGCTTGGGACGTACTGGTGCGCTATATCTAGCGTAATCCTGCCGTAATCCCTTAAAGCCAATAGCCTCGCGTGGCTATACGCAGAGTGATTCTATCTTCTAGAAGGGTCTATTCCCTTAGGATAAGATAAACCTGGTTACCTGATGTACTTTGGAAGTATAAAAGCGCATTGTACTGATCGATAGTGCAACCTTTCCTCGACACATTCGATCCTGTAACACTTGGTAATCAGAGCTTTTCTCACTCGACCGCGCTCAGCTAAGCAGCAGCAGCGGGGATCCAGCCTCGAAAAACCGCCGGGGGCGACCAATTCGACGCCGATTCTGGTAAGCACCAGCTCCGCGATTTTCGAATTACCCCCTCCGTGCGTGTTTTTGAACAGGATGGCAACCTTCGACAACGCCGAGGTTACCCAGCAGCTCTTTGCGCGCATCGCAGCCCTTCAGGAGGAAATGCGAGCGGATCGCGAAGCGTGGCGAAATCAGTTCGAGCGAGTAACTCGACTCGCCGGAGCGCAGCACGAGACGACAGCGGCGACGACGCAGCAGTCGCAGCAGTTTCTCGATGCTCAGAAACAGCGCCCACCTGAGCCGTTCGATCCGAGCGATCGAAACTCCGACGCCCGCAGATGGATCGCCGGGATGGAGATCTACTTCGCAGCCGTCGGATGGAGCTCGCCAGTCTGGGACGGACAACGTGTACGACTCGCGGCGACACTGATGCGAGGGCCGGCACTCGAGTGGATTGGCGGCAACAGTACTTTCATCCACGGTGAAGCCACGTGGCAGCAGTTCCGCACCGACCTGCTGAAACGCTTCGAGCCGATAAATTCCAGTTTCCTTGGCCGGGAAAAATTTCATCGACACCGACAGTTCGGAAGTGTAGCGCAGTACACGCAGCAGATGGAGGAATTTTATAACCGCATTCCCGACATGATCGAAGGGGAAAAAGTACAATCGTACCTCGCTGGGCTGAAGACCGAAGTCAAACGACAAGTGGCAGCGTCAAACTACGCGAGCTACAGTGACGTCGTTTCGGCAGCGGAGCGCTTCGACATGGTCAACGCCGGAACACGACGGACGCACGTTGACAGTACGCGACAGGGCGACCGCTCGGCTCACCCCACGTTCGCCGACCCGATGGAAGTCGACAGATTCGAGGGGCGGCCACGTCCGAAAAACACCGATTACACGTGTGATTTTTGTGGGGTGCCGCGTCATCGAATCTTCGACTGCAGCAAAATGAAGACTGCACGCGCAGAGTATCGGGCACGCAACAGTGGCGGAATTCCTTCAGCCAATCAGAAGTCAAAAACGGGAGTCGCCAGTGATTGCGGATCTAGCTGGCGAAAAATAAAAGATCCGAAAACAGCCGCGGGATTCCGGAAAAATCAACTTCGACGAAGCTGATTCGACGAGAGAAGGAGGAAATGATGGGGGAAAATCTCCACCCCACGACCAGTCCTCGCCAGGGAAAATCGCCGAGGAAAAATACGACTCCGCGAAAAAAGACTCTGCCGAGACAGGGAAACTCCTTGAAGACCCAAGAAATTATAAGAATCCGTTAAAGTTATCTTATAAAGATGCTTTAATGAAAACTTATGAATTTCGAGGGGCTCGAGCCTTGGAGAAATTTCGGGAGGGACTCCAAAAGAAGCAGACAGCTGTGGAGATTATACCGGTACCGAAAAACCTGGGGACCAAATTAAGGAGTGTGGAAAGAAGCCGACCTTTCCACGGAGTCAACGTCCTCTCCCGACACCAGCCCACAACGACTACCCGTTCCCCAGGGAAGACATCGGTGGAGCTGAAGCAGCTCAAGAGGAAGCTGGGGGTCTACAAGAAGCTGCACAAACCCCGAACTCCTCCTACGGATGCATCCAGTTCTTCGGCATCAGTAACGCGCACAGTCGTCAAGGAAACTCCGGGCCCTGGAGAAGAGCCGTTCTCCAAGCAGCCTCGGCCAGCTGCCAGCTCAGGAGTAAATAGCAAAACAAAGGTGTGTACGGAGTATTGGGATGTACCCTTTGACCCAATCAATGAAACTATCTTTGGGTACTCCGAGCAATGACTGCCCCTCGTGCTCAAGGTCATCTGCAAAGGACGACGCCTCCAAGCACTCGTGGACAGCGGAGCGTCACACACCGTCTGCGATAAGGCAGTAATCGGCCGACTTCGGGAAGAGTACAAGCCTTCAGGATTTTCTGCAACGATGGTGGACGGCAGCAAGTTACCAGTATACGGCGAAGCAGTGCTACACCTACAAAT